GATTCTTTGCCACCAACCCGTCAGGGAAGCCCAGTGTGTTATCCTTTGTGTATGTTGCTGGATTCAATATGCAAATATTTTGTTGAGGATTTTTGTTTCTGTTTAGTTCATGATGGATATCGGTCTGCAGCTTTCTTGTACTGTTCTTGTCAGATGCTGGTGTCAGAAGAATGCTGACTACATAAAATGAGGAAGGGAGTGTTTCCTCCTTTTTTATTTTCTAGAAATGGTTAATTACAGCATTGGTATTATTTCTTCTTTAAATTTTTGTTAGAACTCACCATTGAAACAATCTGGGGCCTAGAGTTTTCTTTGAAGGTTTTTAGTCTATCTGTTCAATTCCTTAAATAGATAAAGGAATATTCAAGCCATCTATTTCATGTTTACTGAGTTTTGGTAATTCATGTATTTCAAAAAATTGGTCCATTATATGTAAGTTGCCACATTTATAGACATAAAGCTGTGTATTCATTTGTCCTCTTAACAACAGAAGCTCTGGAGTGATATCATTCCTACTATCAGTAAAGTACATCTTTTTTCTTTATTAATCAGTCTGACTACAGTTTGTCAATCACAGTCATCTTCTCAAAAAATAAGGCTAACTATAAACCTACTATAATCAAGACTTTGGTGTTGGTTAAGAGATAAATATATAAATGAATGGAGTAGAACAGAGTCCAGAAGTAGACCTACACAAATAGAGCCAACTTATTTGTTCACAATGGAGAACTCAGAAGTTTCCAACAAATGGAATAGGGATAATTGAACATTAAAGGGTAAAAAAGAACATCTACCTAAACCTAACAACTTGTACAAAATTTTACCCAAAATAGATCATAAGTACGAGACCATAAAACTCTTAGGAAAAAACACATGAGATAATCCTCAGGACCTGGGGTTAGGCAAAGAGCTCTTAGACAGTCTACAAAAGAATAAATTGATAACTTTAACTTCATCAAATGAAAAATTGTGGTTTTTTGAGAATGTAAGAGACTCAACAGACTGAAAGAAAAATATTTGCAAATAACATTCAATTAAGGACTTGTATCTAGAACATATTAAAAACTCAGACTCCAATAAAACAACCTACTTTTTTTAAATGGGCAAAAGACTTGAACAGACATATCTCCAAAAAGGACATGTGGTGATATTTAAATAAGCACATGAAAGGTGTTCAGCATCATTAACCATTAGGGAAATTCAAACCATGATAAGATACTCACCTACCAGATAAGATAAGATACTCCCTACTAGAATGGCTAGAATAAAAAACACTGACAATACCAATTACCAGCGAGGATGTAGAACATCTGGGAGTTGCATACGCTGCTGGAAGGTGTGCAAAGAGGTACACCCACTGTGAAAATCTTTGGCAGTTACTTCTAAAAGTAAACTTACATTATGACCCAGCAACCCCTCTCTGAGTGTTTACTCTAGAGTAATTAAAACTTCTATTTACGTGAAAACTTGTATAACAGTTCTATACAGGATTGCCAGAAACTGGAAACCACCCAAATATCCTTTTACAGTTGAATGGATACATAATACTCTAGTGTTTGCTCCATGCAGTATTATCCAGTAAGGAACAAAATAGCAATGCTCAGGAATGGAGGAAAAAACGAAGAAACCAATACAATTGGCCAAAAAGAACACAAAGACCCAGAAGACTGCCCCTGTTCCCTCTCTAAGTTCACCCCTGCATCATTCCACATGTACTTTTCTTTTCCAATAAACTTTTTACTTTTCTCTTTAAAAAACTGGGCAGTTGATATATACAATTTCCATGAATATCAAAGGCATTGTGCTAACTGGAAGAGAGATAACAAGAGGTTATATACTGGATATTTCCATTTCTATGACATTCTGGAGGAGATAATAGGATAGGGAGAACAGGTCAGCAGTTTCCCAGGGTTAGTGTTGTGGGGTGGGTGTCACTATAAAATGGTAATGCAAGTTTTTTTGAGGTGATGGAACCAGTCTGTATCCTGATTCTAACAATTATTACACAAATCTACATATGTATTAAAGCTTATAGAACTCCAGTGAAAACTTAAAAAGTAAATTTTCCTGTAAAACTTTTGGTAATTTAGTTGTACAATGTACAAATTATTTATTTATACAAGGGTGTGGATGTACAATTATGTATATACAGTAAGGTGGGGGAGTTTTATTTTTATTTTTTTGGCTGCACTGTGAAGTATGCAGGATCTTAGTTCCCTGACCAAGAATGGGACCTACACCCCTCTGCAGTGGAAGTGTAGATTCTTAACCACTGGACCCCCAGGGAAGTCCCATCCCATTTAGTATTCTTTATTAATTTTCTGTGGGGCTTCTCAGGTGGCTCAGTGGTAAAGAATCCACCTGCCAGTGCAGGAGATGCAAGAGATGTGAGTTTAATCCCTGGGTCGGGAAGATCCCTTGGAGAAGGAAATGGCAACCCACTCCAGTATTCTTGCCTGGAGAATCCCATAAGTAGAGGAGCCTGACGAGCTCCAGTCTATGGAGTCGCAGAGAGCTGGGCACGACTGAGCCGACTGAGCATGAGCGCACACGTGGTAAATTTTCTGCACTTGAACTTTATTTTATGATGCCTGTTTTGTGTGTGGTAAAATATAAACACATAGATGGTACTGCTTCAACCGTTTTTAAGCGGACAGTTCACTGGCATTAAGTACATTTATACTGTTGTGAAAATATCACCACCGCCCATCTTCAGAGCGTTTTCACCACCCTATGCTGAAACTCTGTATCCATTAAAGAATAATTCCTTATCTTCCCTACCCCCAGCCCTTGGATGTGTTTCCATGTATTTGACTGTTCTGAGTACACCATATAAATGGAATCATATGATATCTGTTTTTTTGAGTCTGGCTTATTTCACTCAGCATAATGTTTTTAATGTTCATCCATGTTGAAGCATGTGTCAGAGAGTCTTTCTTCTTGAAAGGTGAGTAGTTTCCACTGTATGTATATAGATTGGGCAATGGCATTTAGCCATTTGTCCGATGATGTAGTATTGGTTCCATATTTTGTGTTTTGTGAATAATGTTGCTATGAACAAATATCTGTTTGAGTATCTGCTTCTGTTCTTTTGAGTATATACCCAGAAATGGAATTGTTGAATCATAATTCTATGTTTAATATTTTAAAGGACTGCCATACTATTTTCCACAGCAACTGTACAATTTTAAATTTCCACTGGCATTTTGTTAAGAGAAAGGTAAATATAAGGGTTCTTTAAAAAAATTTTATTTTATATTGGGGTATAGTTGATTTACAGTGTGTTAATTTCAGATGTACACAGAGCAATGCTGTTATACATATATCTATTCTTTTTCAGATTCTTTTCCTACTTAGGTTATTACATAATGCTGAGTACAGTTCCCTATGCTGTACAATAGAACTGCCATGTTTTTTTAAGCCAAGAATAAATGCAAATATATTTGCATTGGCGCAAGAATTATACAGTTAAATCATTTTTAAGTTTATGTGTAAAATTCTATGATTCTATTGCAACTAATTTAATGGTAAAGACTTATGAACTGATTTACAAAATTAATCATCCTTTGTAAAGTTGTTCCTGGGAGAAAATGCCTTCATAGATTCCTTGTGTTGGCTTAGAAAGTTTTTTTAACTTGGGAATGCCAATACAGAAACTATTTAGATTGTATTTAAATTAGTGCAGTAAACCTGATTTAGTGGAACCAGTCTGCCGCCTTGTGGAATTTTAATGCAACTTACAGTTTTACAAACTGAGAGGATGGCTGTAATTTAGGATGGCTGTAATTTAGAGGTGATGCCACTTGTGTTCAATAATTGTTTTGGATTGTTTTTTTTTTTTTTAGTGTTGATTTAAAGAACCAGTTTTTAAGATTTATTTTTAATTGGAGGATAATTGTTTGCAATATTGTGTTGGTTTCTTCCATATAACAATGTGAATCAACCCTAAATACACATATGTCCCCTCCATCCTGAACCTCCCTCCCGCCCCCAAACCAGCCCACCCTAGGTTGTCACAGAGCACCGGGCTGCGCTCCCTGTGTTAGCAGCTCCCCACTCACTACCTGCTTTACACGTGGTGATGAGTATGTTTCAATGCTACTCTCTCAATTCGTCCCACCCTCTCCTCCCGCTGTGTCTACAAGTCCGTTCTCTATGTCTGTGTCTCTATTCCTTTCCTGCAAATAAAAAGAGCCAGTTTCATTTAACATATCTATAGAAGATCTATATCAGGATAACTTTGCTAATAAGTTATCCTAATAAGTTTTGCTAATGGGCACAAATATTTGAATTAATATAAAGGTATTTTCTGTTCTTGTTTAGGAGGAATACATAAAACATGAGAATTGAGTGGTCATGGAAAAAGATTCAAACTGCTCTTTTACCACATAAGAGATTGCATATTGCAGAACTTCTCATTCTTAAGAAAAAATGCAATTTAAAAATAAAATTGTCTACAATTTATATGAACCTTGAAAACATTACGCTGAGTGTAATAAGCCAGAAACAAAAGGACAAATATTGTATTTCTCCTTTTTTACTGTATGGAATTACAATTTTTAAAAAAAGGCTCTTCCACTTTATCTTAGTTGTAAACATTAAGCAAATGGAAAGTAATTATGAAGTAATAATAGCATTGAGACTTCTCTGGCAGTCTGGTGGTTAAGACTCTGAGCTTCCAAAGCAGGCGGCAAGGGTTCAACCCCCAGTCTGGAAAATAAAATCTCATATGTTGCATGGCTCAGCCGAAAAGAAAAAAAAAAAGAATAATAGCATTTATTAATGTCTGTTGTAGTCCTGAACATAATTCTCTCAGTCTGCATAACAACTCTGCAGTATAGACCTGATTAATTTCATACTGCAGATAAGGAAAATGAAGCTCAGTTAAATTCACTGGTGTGACAAAAGTCTCAGCACCACTTGATGCCACAGAAAAGGCTTCAGGTCCTGTCAGTTTCCAAAGCTGAAACTTTGGGGGAGTTCTCACTGGGCACCCCATCTTAAAAAAGATTTCCTGATCTGTTGTCTGATGTCCTTTTTTGCCATTTCCTTTGAAATACCTGATTCCACATTAGAGATGTGTCTCGTCCTGAGCTCTGCAGGGCTGGCTGGCTGGCCTTGGACTTTTTCTCCAACTCACAGGGAAGTTTGCAGTGCTGAATAGGGAGGCGTGACAGAACAGGGTGATTGCCTGCCAGACAGACTGGGCTTGCTAGGCTGCACCAGAAAACACCAGACTTTGAACAAAGAGGAACCATTCTAGTATTTCAGGGTTTGACCAGAACATACTCTAATGGTTCAAGAGAAACACTGCCAAAACGGGTGTGTTCATAGATGTCAGGCCAACATAGCGATGGATCTGAAAACCATTCATTCAGCAAATACTTACCGAGCTTCAACTATGATCAGATGCTAGTCTATGTAATATTTTATTAAGTATTGAAGCAGACAAAAAACCCCTCCCCTAATAGAGCTTTCATTCTAAAAGAATAGGCAGACAATAAGATACATAGGTAAATTATGGCGTGCGTTAGAAGGTGATTTTTTTTAAAGGGATTATAGAATCAAATGTTTCTCCTGAAAAGAAAAGACCAAAGGAAAATATTGCTAAATCTTGCTAGTCAACAAAACATAGAATTGCTAGTCAATTCTCATCCTCATCTTGGCTAAGTAGCAGCATTTGACATAGTTGATCATTCCCTTCTTCTAATGCATTCTTTGGATTTCAAGATTCCACACTACTGCTTTCCTCCTATCTCAATGGCTAATATCCTTTGGCTGTTTTTAGGTTATTTCTTCTCATTTTCCCAACCTCTAAACACAGGAGTGCCCTGAGACCTTCTCTGTCAGTCTGCACTCATTGGTTAGGGAGTTCATGCAGTCCCATGATTTTAAATACTGTGTATCACCAAACTTCAAAATTGTAACTCCAGCCCAGACCTCTCCTCTGAACTAGGGCTTCCCTGATAGCTCAGTTAGTAAGGAATCCACCTGCAGTGCAGGAGACCCCGGTTCAATTCCTGGGTCAGGAAGATCCCCTGGAGAAGGGATAGGCTACCCACTTCAGTGTTCTTGGTCTTCTCTTGTGGCTTAGCTGGTAAAGAGTCCTCCTGCAATGGGAGAGACCTGGGTTTGATCCCTGGGTTGAGAAGACCCCCTGGAGAAGGGAAAGGTTACCCACTCCAGTTTTCTGGCCTAGAGAATTCCATGGACTATGGCAAAGAGTCGGACACGACTGAGCCATTTCACTTTCTTTCTTCATATCACCAAACTCCACAATTGTAACTCCAGCCCAGACCTCTCCTCTGAACTGTAGGCTATTCAGTTGCTTACCCAACATCTTCACTTATAATTGCAAATTTAATATGAGTTTCTGTTTCTTCCTCCTTAAGGAACCTGCCCTCGCACTGTCTTCCCACAGTCAATGACAGTGGTCAGCCTCGCACTTTCAGCTCGGGCTGCGAACCCTGATGTCTTCCTTGACTTTTCTCTCTTTCAAACCTTGCCTTCTGAGTAAATTTGGCCTGTCCTACTTGCCAAATATATCCAGAATCTGCCAGCTTCTCACCCTCAGTGTTTCTGGCCTGGTCTCACTCACCATCATCCTTCACTGGATTATCACAAGTACAGGTTTCTCCTGCTTTTCAGAAAGTTCGAGTTTTGCCACTTTGCTTTTTGGAAAATACCTACTAACTGAAAGAAATCTCAAGAGGATTTTTCGCTTTTATGGAAAAAAGGAGAAAAGCAAAAATAGTGTTTAGTGTTTGTTTTGCAGCTCGCAGGTTATGGAGGCTGCACCCAAAGCTGGAGAATGGCACCGCCAAGCTCCCTCCTTGGGAATTGAACTGCACTCAGCACCTCAGCATCAAGGCGCCTGAGCTTTTCACTGTTGGCGTGAGCATCTATGTTTTATCGCAATTTATTTTTTCCATCATTGGCAAGATGTGTCCTAAGGCAATTGCTTTTTCGCCTTCCATCATTTCAGCTTAGAAAAAGTTTTATAGGATCACTCTGCTTTCAGATAGCCGGGGAAACCTGTGTCGGGTCTGTCCTAACCCCTTGGTCCAGCCTCCTCAATCTCTTCTTAACATGGCAGCTAGAGTGTTGGCTTTTTTAAATTGAAATGTAAATAAGACCATGTCCTTTTTCTGTTCAACACTTCAAAAGAACTTCATATTGCAGAGTAAAAGCCCAGGTCCTCGTAGTGCTATGTGATTGTTCTTCCCTCCCCTGCCCTGTCTTACTCTCTGCCCCACTCCTATGACTCTCCTCTCTGATCACCCCACTCCAGCCATATGAGCCCTCCTTGCTATTTCTTGAGCCACACCAGGCATGCTCCTGTGTTAGCACCACTTCATTTGTCCTTCCCTCATGACACACCGTGAAATAACTACTTGGCTCAGGCTCTCCCTCCTTCAGATTTTCAAGTGTCATCTCAGTGAGGCTTTCCCTGGCTAAGCATTTAAAAACTTCTAACTCACATCAACTCTCCCCCGCGACCCCATCGATCCCGTTTACTTTTCCCCATGGCACTCAACCCAACACGCCATATAACACTTATATACATGGTTCACTCTTCACCTCCGTATAAGTTCTATGAGGGGCAGTGATTTCTGTCTGTTTATTCATTGCTCCATCCCTAGGACCCGGCTCCTATCAGGAGTTCTGTATGTCTGTCCTCCAGGCGGGCCATAGTTACATGCCCGCAGTTAAACAAGGTGGTTTGCCGGCCTGTTGCAAAATGGGAAAAGGGTACCAGGAGGAACTGTGGAGCGACTCTGTAGTTAGCAAGAACTTAGAGCAGTAAGTATATTGGGGATTTGGGAGAGGTTTCAAGGAAGTGGGGCTTTGCTCTGGATTGGATGCTGCCCGGAAGCTATAATAACTCCCTGGTGGGGTATCTGAATGAGTTTTTTCAGGATAGAGGGAAGAGTGCAAGGCTAACACTGTAATTGGTAAAGCAGCAGCAGTTATACTAACGGGGAGAGGCAGGATGTTCAGTTTTTTTGTGGTTTACACAGTGACCCTATTTTTTATAGCCGCTTAGATAAGATTATTGAAGTGATCTGGTTTTTGTTTTGTTTTACCTCATGCTGTCAAGGTCACAGGGTGGTCTAGATTGAGGTAGGTATTCTGTGAAATTATTTATGTCCATCAAGGAAAATACCTTGCCTGTCAGTGAGTGCCAGGCCAATGACTGATGCCACCTAGACCTAGCTGAGAGGACGAGACTAGTTCCCAAGGTCAGTGGTTGCTTTTTTCTTATTCAAGCATACATTTTAAAAAATGATTTAATGAGTGAATACAATGATGGTCTTCATATACCGGAAGAGCTGTCACATGAAAGTGAAAGAGATTCATTTAATAAGAATTCAGAGGGTAAAGTTGGGACAATGGGTAAGTCACAGAGTGAGCAAGTTTCCACTTACCATAAAAACTTTAAAAAAAATGAGGCCCTCAGTAGAAAGATGAATTCCAATGACTTGACTTCTGAACGGAGGCTGGAGATATAATGGGTTAGGACATTATAGACGTGACTAAGGCACTGATTAGAAGCCTGGACTAATTGCCTTCAATTTGTATGAAGCTCTGTTAAGATCTCCCAAAACTTGTTTGGCCTTCCGGCATTCTTCCTATGGAGTTCCCAAGAAGAATCAGACAGTGGCTCCAAGCTGTTCTAGGTCCTTTGAGGATTCACCATCTAGAAGTGGAGACAGACAAAGAGGCAAACATCTGCAGTGCAGTGCATTCCCTCCTCCTCCCAACTGCAGTAACCTCTATCCTATTTTATGTCTCTATGGATTTGCCTGTTCTAGTTATTTATGGGGCTTCCCTGGTGCCTCAGGGGTAAAGAATCTGCCTGCTCTGCAGGAACTGTGGGATTCAGATGGTAAAGAGTCTGCCTGCAGTGCAGGAGACCTGAGTTTGATCCTTGGGTCAGGAAGATCCCCTGGAGGAGAAAATGGCAACCCACCCCAGTATTTTTGCCTGGTAAATACCATGGACAGGGGAGCCTAGTGGGCTACAGTCCATAGCGTTGCATAGAGTCGGACACAATTGAGCATCTTCACTTTCATGCAGGAACTGCAGGAGATGCTGGGTTGATCCCTTGGTTGGGAAGATCCCCTGGAGGAGGGCATGGCAACCCACTCCAGTATTCTTCCTTGTCTGCCTGCAGTGCAGGAGACCTGAGTTTGATCCTTGGGTCAGGAAGATCCCCTGGAGGAGAAAATGGCAACCCACCCCAGTATTTTTGCCTGGAAAATACCATGGACAGGGGAGCCTAGTGGGCTACAGTCCATAGAGTTGCATAGAGTCGGACACAATTGAGCGTCTTCACTTTCATGCAGGAACTGCAGGAGATGCTGGGTTGATCCCTTGGTTGGGAAGATCCCCTGGAGGAGGGCATGGCAGCCCACTCCAGTATTCTTCCCTGAAGAATTCTGTCAACAGAGGAGCCTGGCGGGCTACAGTCCATAGGGTTGCAAAGAGACACGACTGAAGTGACTTAGCATGTACACACAGGTACTTCATATAATTGGAATCATGCAATATTTGTCCTTTGGGTTGGGCTTATTTCATTCAGCATGTTTTCAAAATTCACCTGTGTTGTAACATGTATCAGAATTTCACTCCTTTTTATGATTGAACATTATCACATTGTATGCATATACTACAGTTTGTTTGTCCACTGGTCTGTTGAGTCAAGCCAATTTTATTTTGTTAATTTTTTTAATATTTATTATTTCTTTGGCTGCACCAGGTCTTAGTTACAGCACGTATCATCTTCCTTCATGGCATCTTTAGTTGTGGCACATGGGAGTTGTTGTTTTTTTTTAGTTGCAGCCTGCGCACTCTTAGTTGAGGCATGTGGGATCTAGTTCCCTGACCAGGGATCGCTCAGGTTCCCTGCACTGGGAGCACAGAGTCTTAGCCACTGGACTACCGGGGAAGTCCCAATTCAAACTAGTTTTGAAAGGAGCTTCTTTATTTGGGGAAGGAAAGGCCAGATGTTTGCAGGAAGGATATTGTTTGCATGATAGATGAATAGAGCAGTGGGAAATGGAATTGTATAGGATTTGGGAAATAATTAGCAAAGTTTTATCACTGCTTGAGGGCTCAAGAACACAGTGGGGCTGCTGAGAATGGTAGAACTGAGTTAATAAGAGCCTTGCATGCCATGCTAAGACTATGACCTTTTTCTTATAGACAAGGGAGACACATTGGGTCCCTCCCCTACCCCAATCAAAATCTGTTTATTCTATTTATTATTTTTTCTCATTATACAAATAATATATGCTTGTGGTCAAAAAGTCAAACCATACTGAAATAGAAACATTGGAAAGAAGAGATTACCATTTCTTACCCATATAGCTAACCACTATTAAAATTTTGATGTATATCCCATATTAAAACTCACTAGCTGAAGACCACAAGAACCATCTAAAGTTAAAATTAGGTTTATTTAGCTTGCTGCAGCAAGGAAGAGCCCACCCCAGGGAATGTATAGGGATGTGTGGGGATGTATCGTTAAGAAGGAATTGGGAAGAGTTTATTACAAGATCTGAGCTTATACTGGTGGATTCTAAGGTGTCTTTAGGGAAAGCAGGAACCTGTCCTGGATTGGGTGCTGTCAGGACATAGGGACAATTTGGTAGATCTTTGGTAATTTTTATCTGGATTGCCAAAGGATTAAGATTGGGCAGGAGCTATCATTGGTAAAGAAGCTGTAATCATTCATGTAGGTATAAGAGGAAGATTTTAGCCATTTTCATGGCTTCAGGGGGCCTTGACCCTGTCTCGTTTTACTGTAGTCTCAGAATGGCCTTGTCTGGTTATTGTTTATATCCTGTAGGGCCTAACTTGATGTTTTGTCAGGAACATTACAGCCTATGTGCTCAGTCACTCAGTCGTGTCTGACTCTTTGTGATTCTGTGGACTACAGCCACCAGGCTTCTCTGTCCATGGAATTTTTCAGGCAAGAATACTGGAGTGGGTTGCCATTTCCTCCTCCAGGACATTACAGCCTAGAGTGAAAATTAATCAAGGTAAACCTCACTAATGTGGAAAGATTGAGGGCAGGAGGAGAAGGGAACAACAGAGGATGACAGTTGGATGGCATCACCGACTCAACGGACATGAGTTTGAGCAAGCTCCGGGAGATGGTGCAGAACAGGGAAGCCTGGCATGCTGCATCCCATGGGGTCCCAGTATCAGACACGACAGAGCGAGTGAACACTAAGATAGAGTTGGGAGGCCAGAAGAGGGAGCTCTCACACACTTATCAACCCTGTCTCTCCAGCAGAAACCACACTACGGCCACCAGAAGGAGGGGGAGTTTTTCCCTCCTTGCCTGGCAACAGCCCAGCCAATGATAAAGCCACTTATTTCAAACTCCTGTTTCCTTCAATGGACCTTCTGGTTCTAACGGCTCCTCCCAACTTTCCCTTCTCTGTAAGAGTTTTCTCTTGTTTTACTGGGCTTACTTGTGGCATAACACAGTTGTTTATGTCCTGAAGATCCCCCACAGGGTCGCCAGGAGTCAGACACGACTGAAGTGATTTAACACATGCAAGCTGTTCCCAAATAAACTCATTCTGCTGGTGAAAATAACTGGTTGTTTTATTGTTTTAGGGTAACACTAGCTATCAGCTTTCAGATTATCTTTTTACTTTCTCAGTTCCCTATTTTAACCAGGGGCACATAAAGTCAGCCTGCAGGATATTTCACTCTGAAGTTCAGATCTACTGTCAAGATTCCATTCATCAGAAGGTTGTTTAGAGAACATTAGCTGCTGTTGAACTAAAGTCAGAGCTTCATATTCCTTTTTTAGCAGATGAGCTGTTGGATCAGAGGTGGCAAGGGCTTTATGGCAGTATTTATGTGTGTGGGGAGAACATGTACAGGCCAAAATACCTGACCTCCTTATTTCTTGTTTTCTGAAACGTTTTGGTATTATTAAAGATTCCGGAGAAGCCTATAGAAATATAAGTACATTTTTTTCTTACAGTAATATATATTCTACATTGAGAGGTCAATATTATATCCAGAACAACTCTATTTTGATCATTGCCTGCTCACGTTTATGAAATTTTGAAAGAGTTTTGAAGACTTGGGTGGCATTCACTTACCTTTCCCATTACTTCTCTACTTCAGCATATAGCATCCCCTTTCCTCCACTTTGATGGAGACAGAAACAACCCCTTCCTGGGTGTGAAATGACAGGGATGTTAGACTTGTGAATGTCTTGTCTATTGTGTTGTAAGCCATATAAAAAGTTGTTAGTAGGGAATCCCCTGGTGGTCCAGTGGTGGGAACTGCGTGTTTCCACTGCTGGGAGCACAGGTTCAATCCCTGGTGGGGGAACTAAGTTCCCCCAGGCCACATGATAAGGCCAAAAAAAAAAAAATGTTATTAATTGAATTTAGGCTTCCCTGGTGGCTTAGTGGTAAAGGATCTGCCTGTCAATGCAGGAGACATGAGTTCTATCCCTGGGTCAGGAAGATTCCCTGGAGAAGGAAATGGCAACCCACGCCAGTAGTCTTGCTTGGGAAATCCCATGGACAGAAGAGCCTGGTGGGTTACAGTCCATGGGGTCACAAAGAGTTGGACACAACTTAGTGACTAAAGAACAACAAATTGAATTTAGTTAATCAGAATCAACTGATGGTTGATTCACGAGGAAAAGATACTAGAGGGGACTGAATGGCACTCATAGGAAAGTGGATACAAACCCAACAGTTAGTTTTATTACGTGTTTTACCTAAAAAACAAGAAAATCACATTAGGCATTAGGTATTATACCAAGGACTAACTGAAGTTAAAAAGTGGGAAGCTTCCAGTGGGATGCTTGGAAACATGTCTGTGGGTTGTTGGTGCTCCCTCCATCAAGAGGAGGACTCTATTGTGCTTCCAGCACAGAAGGCACAGGTTTGATCCTTGGTCGGGGAACTAAGATCTCACATGCCATGTGATACAGTCAAAAATTAAAAAAAAAAGAAAAAGAGTCTATGTCCTACTCCCATAAATAGGAGTGGCCTTTGACTGTGTAGTCTAACAGAAAAGATAGAAGCAACTTTGTGTGACCTCCAGTTGCCCCTGGGGCACTCACTCTAGGAGACTTCTTCAGTTGTCTAAGAGATCTGCATATCCTGGGGTCTCCAGGTGGAGAGATCATGTGAAGATGAAGGAGGGAGGGAGAGAGGGAAGGGGGGAAGAGAGAGAGGTGAAGAAGAGGAAGAGGAAGAAGGAGAAGAGGAGGAGACGAGAAGATAAGAGGAGGGAGGAGAAGAGATGGATCTGAGGGCCCTAGCCCTTTCACCTCCCAGTGGTTTGACTCTTGCCAGCCCAGGCATCAAACATGAGCAAAGAATCCTTTGAGGTGACTCCAGCCACAATCTGACTGTGACCTCATAAATGCTAACTGACCTTGGTAATTCCTCAGGTTTTTGATCTAAAATAAAATGACTGTTATTGTTTGAAAAGTCACTGTTTTGGGATGGTTTACTATGCTTCATGAGACAACTGGAACAATGAATTGATGATGGCTTGTGTCCTTCTAATTGAGAGACTTGAACCCAGGGATCAATACCTTGGAATTTTACTGTTGTGTAACTTGATACCAGCACTTGCTTAGGTCCTTTTTATTGAAATTTTCTCTGATCGTCTTCATAACCTAAAAGCTCCTGGTCTAAAATTATATGGAAGCTGGCTAGATGACTGGTGAAGACAGTAGCCATGCATACCTTTTGGTGATAAGATTGAACAGCTTTCCCTAATTTATTATATTTAGTACTATTATCAGAATAGAGGAGAGTAATATATTGTATAAAGGATTAATTTGTGATAACCTGAGAGCATTGAAAAAATCTCTATACTCTTTCAGTTCATAAAATGTATTACACATGTTATCATTTGACAAGAACATTTAAATCTGGAAACTTGTAAGTGAAATCTTTTGTACCCTGTTACTGTATGTCTTTGTATACGAACATCAGTATGCTTCTTTTAACTGGAGAAATACACCATTGAACATAAGCTTATTAATGATTTACATATACAGATTGCAAGGAATTATAGCTATCATCTTTAATAGAGTATAATCTACAAAAATGCTGAGTCACTATTTTATACATCTGAAACTAATATAATATTGTAAATCAACTACACTTCAATTAAAAATAAAAAAAATTTTAAGTAAAAAAAACCCACAAAATTTAACTTAAGACTGAACTTTTTTTAGCTTGTAAGTTTTCTTTTATCCTAAGTTCGGTAAACATAAGAGCCCTCCTAACCGTTTTGGGTCCATTGCAATGTGGAGAATGTGAAATAAACATAGTCATTGCTACTAGGTTTCTTTCTTTTATTATTTTTTACTGAAATAAAATGCACATAACATTAACCGTTTGAAAACATACAATTTAATTGCATTTAGTACATCTTCGGGCTTCCCTGGCGGCTCAGACAGTAAAGAATCAGCCTGGAATGCAAGAGACCTGGGTTTGATCCCTGGGTCGGGAAGATCCCTTGGAGGGGAATGGCTGTCAACCTCAGTATTCTCGCCTGCAGAATTCCATGGACAGAGGAGTCTGGCAGGCTAAGTCCATGAGGTGGCAAAAATTGGACGCAGCTGAGTGACTAGCACTAACATACATCTACAATGTGTTGCAGCCACTGCTTCAAATAAATGGGTCTATTTGATGCCTACTTGGTGGAAAGTTCTTAAGCAGTGCTTCTCAAAACATGGCTTAGGCATTCCTGTGGTTTCTTATATACTTTTTTTTTTTTTGCATTCATATTTAGAATATGACAGCATCTCCTCTTCTGTTTCTTTTGTGATGTATCATAATTCAGACAAATGCTATATCAAAATGTGCTGAATTAATTATGAGAATTCTGAAATTAGTTTTTAATTCTGTAAGTGATACATGAATATGTTCTTGTAAAAGATGAAAACAATTCAGACAGAGCTTAAGGGCGCCAATTCTTATCCTGTCTTTACACCACTATTAATGCAATGTGTATTTTTCTAGACCTTTTTGCCATGCATTTACATACTTATGAATTCTTATAAAATATACATTTTTATAAAAGAAACATTATTCTGTATCTTTTCTTTTGCAACTTAAAAAAAAACCCCAATCCACCACTGAATATCTTTTAAACTACTGCATGTATTTTGTAATACGAACTATCACAAATAATTTAGCCATTTACTTAAAGTCCCAACCCCTCTCTGTTACTGAGTTGGACCATACAACGCCTGGTGTTCAAGGGATTTTTAATTATCCCTTTGAAGACATAGTTTCTCCCAGAAGAAAGGTTCTAGGCCTGGCAAGCATGCTGGTATTTTCCTAGCATTGATAGCACTTAGAGAAATCTCAGGGTCACAAGAAAGGTGTATAATAAAATGGACTATATCACGCCATATTATCTTCCAAAGTGACTGAACTAAATTTAAACACCTATGTAGAGATTTTAAATACCCCTTGGAAAAGAGAGCTTCTCTCTCCCGCCCAGGCCCGCCCCGCCTCTCCAGCACTAGCCTCGGTCCCGCCCCTTCCGCTAGGAGTTCCCGCCTCTCGGCCGCGCCTGGTCGGGGGGGCGGGGCATCGGTCAGCCGTGGCGTCACTGCCGGCTGGACGCCATCTTGCTGGTTTGCGGCCGGTGTTGGCTGTGGCGGCAGTGGTGGTGAGGGCGTGGGGAAGGGTGGGGTGAGGGGGCGAGGCCGCGGCGGGGGCGGCGAAAGTCTCCTCCGCTCAGCCCCACCGCGTGGGACGGCGCGAACGCGGTGTCGGAGGGATGTCCGCTTTCTCTGAGGCGGCGCTGGAGAAGAAGCTGTCGGAGTTGAGCAACTCGCAGCAGAGCGTGCAGACCTTGTCCCTGTGGCTCATCCACCATCGCAAGCACTCGCGGCCCATCGTCACCGTGTGGGAGCGGGAGCTGCGGAAAGGTGAGTCGGCCGCTTCTCGCCCCCCGGACTGTTCCCTGGCGCCTCCGGGATCCCCCTCTCCCCGCGCTCCTTGGGATCCCCCTCTCCCCGCGCTCCTTGGGATCCCCACTCCCCCAGCGACCCCAGCCCCCGGGTGCCCCGCACCGCCCCTACCCGGCGCCCTGGGCTCCCTGGCGTCGGTGGGCTGCGGGCGAGGAGGAGCGGCGTGCACCGCGCCTCCTGCGAAGCTATCTTTAGTAGGTGTTGTTGGATGAGGTATAAAGGATTAGTGCTACTGTTTAACGTGTAAACAGTAGCCAGGGGCTCAGGACTCCGCTACTAACTACAGTCAGAAATTTAGGCAGTCAGGTTTTTTTTTTTTTTTTCATTGTGTACAATCTAATGGAGCAGAGGGGGAAGGGCAAAATTGGGCAAAAAAGAAAGTAAGAGATTGTTATGGGGTTGGGAGGTAATTTCATTTCTATAACACAATACTCAATCTTGTAAAATCAAGAGAGGAATCAGAGTTTTTAGACTGGGGGAGGCTAAAATAAGAAGATGCATGATGTAATGGAAAGAATCCTGAATTTGTAGGTTTTAGAGGACTGTAGATTTTAGGAGGACCTGGATTAGGGAGATTTCTTAATTTCTGGGTCGCAAGTGCCTCACCTGGAAATGTGTTGGTTAAGTGATCTAAGATACTTTCTTGCTCTATTATTATACGTCTTTAGGGTATTGTGTTTATTTTACAAAGCATTCTATAGTGCTTCTGTAAATGAAGTTAACTTTTTTCCAGCTGAAGTTTGCTGTCACTAAAATATGTAGAAGAATCATTTCATTACTGCAGAGCATATTTATCCAGGAGAACTGATTGTATGATGGTGCGACTGAAAATTAAAATATTTGATCTGCTTAGTCTGGATTTATACCTTAATTCTTAATTCACTGGATAAAGAGAGTAGACTCTTAATTGTTTCCGGCATCCTGATGTACCTGCTATTATTTATTAATTAAGCATTTTAGCAAACCATTATTGATCAAACAGATGCTTGTGTACTGATCCATATGAAAGCCATATGTTGAATTAATACCATATCCAAATTGTCTATATGGAATGGAGACAAGCTGTGATTTTCTTATTTGCTGGTTGTTAATTCCTTAGAAAAAACTGATATAGAGTCCTGTTTTTCACTTCATGTGTTAAGTGTGTGTGTATTGGCCCTCATGGAGGAATTCATTTGTGAGTGGCCAAAAAGGTTTGAGAAACACAGATATAAATGTCTGGAAAATAGCTATGAACTTTGAGAAGTCAGGAATTATCTTTGCTTATTTACCTTATTAGATATGAAAATCAGCAACAGTTTTATATTGTTTATATTGGAGGGGAGGGAGAAAGAGCATAAGAGCATAAGGATTGTTATCCAGACTATTCTTAAGAACTACCACAGATCAATAGAAAAGTGGCCATACTGTTAAAAGCAGTTCACGTTAAGCAGAAACCTGAAAGACCAGTAAATGATACTCATCTTACTAATCGAGAAGACATAAATCAATGAAGTACTACATTAGACCTTTTGGTTTGCAAAGTTAAAAAGTATGACAGAGAATTCCCTGATGATCCACTGGTTAGGCCCCTAAGCTTGCACTGTGGGAAGGGGGAAGGGTACTGAGTTTGATCCCTGGTCAGGGAACTTAAGATCCTGCAAATTGAGGGAGCATGGCCCCACAAAATGTATGACAGTGCCAAGGATTGGTGAGGAGGGCAGGAAACAAGAACTCTCTTACACTGCTGATTCTAGTTATGAAAAAGGAGATGAACTTGGTAACCTCTAATGAAGCTGAAGGTATATGTCCTCTGACCTACTAGTTCTGTGACTATATCCTGGAAACTCAAGAAATCATTGTAGCCTGTTAATAAAATTAGATAAACAGTGTAAGCATCTCATTAGAGTATGGACAAATATATTTTTACATTCATACAATATTAATATAATACAGTTTTCTTGAGTTAACTAGATCTACATGAAGCAACATGACTGAATTAAAAAACAACAAACAAACAAAATGTTGAGCTGAGAAAGCAAGGTGCAGACCATTATGCCATATAGTGAAAGTCTGAAAACATGCTTGACCAGATAGGCCAAGGAAGTGGCTACCACAAGGGAGAGAGGAAATGAAAACAGATCTGTGTAGCTTATAGTACATATATTTGAAACATTTTTTGAAGCACAGGGAAAAATGATAAGAAGATACTCTGTTAGCTGAGTTTGGGAATGTTTTCATAGGTTTAAATGTTCCATAAATAGAAAAAAATTAAAGGCATATAAATAGATGCTTTAGGAGAGAGAAGGTTGGGTGTTGATGGTGAAGATAGAAGTGATGGTAATTGTGGAGGTGATCATGCTGCTGCATTTTTCAGTATGACATGGGGTTTTCTGCCAGATGTTTCCTTTCTGTGACATGATTGTTCCTTTGTAGGGCACACATAACCTTTATGTCCTCCCTGTTCTCTGCAGTTTTGCTTATCAACTTTAGCATAATGATGATGACAGTAATTAACTGAGTACCAGGCATTGTTTTAGACATCTTGCTGTGATATCTTGAATCCTCACATTATCTCTGCAGAATAAGTATTTTTGAAAGGATTGATCAAATTTGGAATGTCAAGAAACAAACTAAGGAAAATTAGTTGAACATTTTGTATTAAGCTTGGCATTTTTTAGTTTCTTGAAGTGGTTAAATGACATTGGTAGGGAATAGTACTGATCAAAATGTAAGAATGAGTAGGTGAAATGCCGTGTCAAATGCCCTTATGACAAATGCCCTTATGACAATTTCCCCTATTGTCTGCTTACCTTTGTCTCCTTGAAAGAAAGATAACCCCCCCAGAGACATATACCCCAGGGCCCTTAAGAAGAACAAAGTAGCGATATCCTTGATACACACAACACAATGTAACCAAAAAGAGGTGACCATTTTGTTATTTTGTAACAGTTCTGTTGAGATATAATTACCAAAATAAATAGAGCTCTATAAGATACAATTAACCTACCCTACAAGCATTACTAGGAACAAAGCCAATGGAGGTGTTAATTCCAGCTGAGCTATTTCAAATCCTAAAAAATAATGCTGTGAAAGTGCTGCATTCAATATGCCAGCAAATTTGGAAAACCCAGCCATGGTCACAAGACTGGAAAATGTCAGTTTTCATTCCAATTGCAAAGAAGGACAATGCCAAAGAATGTTCAAACTACCATACAATTGCGCTCATTTCACATTCTAGCAAGGTAATGCTCAAACTTCTTCAAGCTAGGCTTGCAACAACAGTATGTAAACTGAGAACTTCAGATGTACAAGCTGAATTTAGAAAAGGCAGAGGAACCAAAGATCAAATTGCCAGCATCCTTTGGATCATAGAAAAAGCAAGAGAATTCCAGAAAAACATCTATTTCTGCTTCATTGACTACACTAAAGCCTTTGACTGTGTGGATAACAACAAACTGGAAAATTCCTAAAGAGATGGAAACACCAGACCACCCTACTTGCCTCCTGAGAAACCTGTTTACGGGTCAAGAGGCAACAATTAGAACCAGACATGAAACAAGGGACTAGTTCAAAATTGAGAAAGGAGTACGTTAAGGCTGTATATTGTCACCCTGCTCATTTAACGTATATGCAGAGAACATCATGAGAAATGCCAGGGTGGTTGAAGCACAAGCTGGAATCAGTATTACGGGGAGAAATATCAGTAACTTCAGGTAGGCACATGATACCACCCTTATGGCAGAAAGTGAAGAGAAACTAAAGAGCTTCTTGGTGAAACTGAAAGAGGAGAGTGAAAAAGCGGGCTTAAAACTCAACATTCAAAAAAACGAAGATCATGGTATCCAGTCCCATCACTTTGTGGCAAATAGATGGGGGAAAAGTGGAAACAGTGGCAGATTTTATTTTCTTGAGCTCCAAAATCACTGTAGATGATGACTGCAGTCACGAAAGTAAAAGACGCTTGCTCCTTGGAAGAAAAGCTATAACAGACCTAGACAGTGTATTAAAAAGCAGAGACATTACTTTGCTGGTAAAGGTCAGTATAATCAAAGCTATGGTTTTTCCAGTAGTCTATGTACAGATGTGAGAGTTGGACTATAAAGAAGGCTGAATGCCGAAAAATTGATGCTTTCAAATTGTGGTGCTGGAGAAAATTGTTGAGAATTCCATGGACAGCAAGGAGATCAAACCAGTCAATCCTAAAGGAAATCAACCCTGAATGTTCATTGAGAGGACTGACGCTGATCTCCCATACTTAGGCCACCTGTTTCAAAGAGCCGACTCATTAGAAAAGACCCTGATGCTGGGCAAGATGGAAGGCAAAAAGAGAAGGGGGGAGGAGAGGATGAGATGGTTAGATAGCATCACCGTCTCGATGGATGTGAATCTGAGCAAACTCTGGGACGTGGTGGAGGACAAAGGAGCCTGGCATGCTGCAGTCCATGGGATCACAAAGAGTCGGATGTGACTTGGTGACTGAACAATGGCAGCAGTTGTTTTAGAATTTTAAAAATACAGTTAGTATGCTATAACTAGAATGTAGAAAGCTTTTAATGATTAAGAATAATTTCACTTTATATATTTATAATTGATGCCTTAAAATATGTTTTCTGCCATCACTCTGCTGATGATTCAGTAATTTTTTTTTCTTTTTTAGCAGTCTAAATGTCACTGGTATTTCTTGAGCATGTCAAACTTAACATGTACAAAATAACAATTTATCATCTTTCCCCACTCTTGTCCCACTTCCCTGTTACTCTTCCTATATTTACTATTTCAGTGAAAAGAATTACTGTCTACCAGTTGCCTAAACTCAGAACTTAAAGGTTGTCTTGATGCCTCGCTTCATACATGCCCCACCTGCAACTTTTTTTATTACTGTTTTAGCAGTACTTTTTTTGTGTCCTGTCCCACCTTGCTGCCTAACTCCTCATCTTCTTAGTTTTTAATCTTTATTTATTTGTCTCATGGAGTCT